GTACCTTTCATTTCGATTCTCAGAAATTCCAACATTCAAAGGAAGCTAGAAAATGCGAAAATGTTATCCTAAAAGCTACATCGTAAGATCGTTGATTAGTACAAAAGGTAAAGATCGCAGGAGCTTCCTCGCTAAAAGTTTGTGATTACGCGGTTACCTGGGGCTGAAACAACTTCCCCAAGGTCTAACATGCGACGCATACAATTCGCATTGATTCTCAGACATTCCAACGTTCAAACAAGGCTAGGAGTATGCAAAAATTGCATGCAAAATGTCTTATCGATCCTCGAACACATCCAGGAATACGAGCACCGCTACGGCGATATGACTGATGCTGTCGCACAGGTGCTAATATCCAGAGCGATCTTGCACAGAAAAGGCATAAAGTCACACTCTTTCAGATCTTCACGTTATACCTGCGTCAGAGAGCACGAAGAAGTCCGAAATCGTCGGCAAGCAGCGGCACATTACAACTACCGCGCACCGAACAAACTCGCATCGACCAGCTCTGGGCGCTGCCATCTTACCGGTGACATCACGGCTCTTGCGAGGTCACGTGACGAGTAGTCACTCGGTTGCTAAGGAAACCGAGCCAGCTCAGCTCGTTGCTATGGTACCGCGTGTGCCCAATCACGGTGAGAGGCGGCACAGGGAAAAGCGTGGCGCTACTCTGGCAGCTACGCTGCCATATCGAGTGGCTCTAATTGTACCCGAGCATTGCGTCGGCACTCGCTTTCGGCTCGTGATAATTACTAGCTCGAGAAGTATTCGGGTAGTGCCCCGTGTCCAATCGCTAAACGACGACAATAGCAGAGCAATAACAATATCGGGAACTCAGCGCTTGCCCTGTGCTTTGCCAACCCCAGCGCGTGGCTATGATCAACATTGGCGGCATATAATTGGCATCAGATCACGTGGCCGCTTGTTCTGGCTGCGAGTTAAGGCGGTGATCGCCGCTAATTTTTCTTTAATTATTGGAGGGATTTTTTTTTTTTTTTTTTGCGTGGGGTGAAAAACAAACGCGTGTTTCATAGGTCATTAACGTGAGGGATCCGTTCTAAGCGGTATTTGCGCAAAGTACAAAAATTGTTGGATCGCCCCTTTAAACCAAAGTGCGAGGTCGAGGAACTTAATAGACTTGCCCACGGGCAGTTCGTGAGTGAAGAGCAGGTGAGGGCAACATTTTTGGAAGCTTCTCCTGATCGTGCTCCAGATTTCTAGCGCTTTCGTCATCTGCACTCAGTTAGGTTCTTCCGTATCGGCTCCCATTAAAACGAGTAGCCAAGATAAATCACTAATTAGTTGAATACTCAGGCGGTCGTAATCTCGCAACTCTATTGGCGATGAGAGCGATCGAAAGCGTCGCTGGGGTCGGCCCACCACAATTGGCCGAATGCTGACTATCACGTCAGCAAAGGATGTCTCATCGACGGAAATAAGAGGAATGTAAGAACTTCAATTTGGACGGTGTTGGCAGTGTTGCTTTGAGAGCTCTATGATTTCAGGATTCCACCATGCCCATTAAGAACACCATCGAAATTGTTGCTCACAAGGTGGTGACGTCACGAAAGGTAACCGAACGAGGGCGCCACCAAAACATCTCGCCAGGGTGAAGACATCCATTGTTGCCCTGAATGTGCCAGCGCGTGACGCTCTCGCGCACTAAATGCGTGGCTTGAGCGGTAAAATGGCGTCTATGCATTAGCCAAAGCTAAGCGCTCGAGCTGAGTGTCACCGGATTGCGCGCACTTCAAAATGCATAAAAAAAACGATTGGGCTAAAAATGGCTGAGATGTCACCACTCAAGCAAAAGTGCACGTGTGTATGAAGGCACTCTTATCTCGCCGCTAATAGCCTCAACCAGTAATTATTTTCATTGCATGAGTTGCAAAGAAAACGTGAAACACGTGCACGATAAAGACAGGCATTGTACGATGGTTCCCACATCAATCGTAGCTGGCGTCGCACGACAGTGTGACATGGCACGTCTCGATGTCGCATCGCGTTGACCTGGCCGACGGAGAAATGATATCGCCATAAACAACATTGAACGCGACATACAAGAGGAAATGGTAACGGAACAGTTCCGCCATTCCACAGAAGTGTCAGCTGTATGCAGTTCGAATGTTCTCATGTTCTGCGAAGTTACTGAGAGCACTATGAGGGACATGGAAGTTGCTGTGATATCACCATCTCAACTACGAGTACAGCGCTGAAAATAACGACAATGGTGCGGAGAAGCGGTGCTAAAATGTTGAAGGGCGGTGCATGCTTTGGTTTTGCCGTAATGGGTTGCATTCTAAGTTCAGAAGGTGCTAATGAATTGCAAAGGCCTGTGTCCCCTGGGGCAACAACCACTACGATGTCACCTAAGCAGTGTAGAATGTGTAAGCTGTGCCGGGGCTCAAGTTTCGTAATGACCCACTTTGCATAATGGCAGGCGCCCGTCGCTATACTCTGTTTCATACTTAGCGTGCGACGCTGACAAAGCTACTGCCGCGAGCGCGTAGCTTTATCCATGGTGTTGTTTACGCGAGAACGCATGCAAAGGATCAACGAGATCAAGCCCCATGCTCGCGCCAGTAGCTTGAAAATGTGTGTAAGTTGTGGGAGCCGAGGGTGAAAGACGATGCAGAGGGCACATGACAGGCGATCGGTGGAGAAGTCATGAGCTGGCAGCAACGACTGGGCCGGGCTGCGTGGCCAGGAGACCTCTGTTGCGCTTTTTGGACCCCCACGGCGAATAGGGAGAAGGAAGTGATGTCAACAACGCATCAAACGCAGATTGGATGTTGATTAGTGAGAGTCGCTGATGATGAATTTCTGCAGAAGAAACATCGAATCTGCGTATTTTTGCGTTCTTGACGTCACTTCCTTCTCCCTAGCCGCCGTGGGAGTCCAAAAAGCGCAACATAGGTCTCCTGGCCCATGGCGAACCCCGAAGCGGTCCACCAGCAAGGTTCGAAGTCCGGACCGGTGGAAACGGCGAGCCCTGGCCATGTGGCCTAGGCCACAACGATCCCGGAGTGGTTTCCCGGCGAGACTCGGGCAGTGATAGCCCGGGACAGCCAGCTTGCGCAGCGCTGGCGTGGGAAGGACGATCCGCAGGCCAGGATATGGACTCCGACTGCCTGAGTCCGAGCCCCATTCTTGCCTCAGAGAGTACACCAGGAGCTTTAAGCTGTCCAAAAATAAATTCTTCTTTCATGACTTACCGATCATCCTCCGGACTAACCCAAGGAAGTTCTGGAACTTAGTATCACCAAAAACTAATAACCCTATCGTACATCTTACCCATGAAAATCGCGACCTCATCCCTGAGAGCGACTACCCTAAGGTACTAAACGACTACATTTCCTCAATCGTTTACTATAGAGTGCTCAGCCACTATCCCTACTCTCACTGAAGAGCCTTACGAGCGAATGCCCCCAATCAGTATTGACCCTGCCAGTATTGTAAACCTAATAGAAAAATTAAAACTCACATCGTCCGCTGGTCCTGACAATATAAATTTGAAAATTCTCAAAAACACCAGCATTTTTTCCAGTGAATTTCTGTCGCTTATATATGATCAGTCCTTATCTGAAGGCCTCCTTCCTTCAGACTGGAAAATTGGCAAGGTTGTCCCGGTTTTTAAACAGGGAATTCGCTCTACTCTCTCTAACTACCGCCCTATATTTTTAAAATCTGTCTGATCCAAACTACTTGAGCACATACTTTACTCTCACATCATGACTCACTTAACAAGAAACAGATTTTCTTTTATGCATCAACATGGATTCCAAAAAGGACTACCCTGTGAGACGCAGCTCTATGACTTCATTCATGATCTACACACTAACCTCGAGTGTCATGCTCACACAGACGCCGTCTTTCTTGGGTTCTTTAAAGCTTTCGACCGTGTCCCCCATCAACGTTTCCTTTCCGAGCTGTCCTTTCTCCACCTTGATCCTTTAGTGCTTGCATGGATAGGCGACTTCCTTTCCTCCCGCCTACAGTTCGCGGTCATCAATGATCACAAGTCCACCTTAACAAATGTCTCCTCTGGTGTTCCGCAAGGGTCCGTTCTCGGGCCTTTGCTTTTTTTAATATTTATCAATGACCTTTCTTCCACCATTTCCTCTAAAATACGCCTCTTCTGAGACGACTGCGTAGTCTATAACAAAGTAACATGTGTGCATGATCACAACCAGCCACAAGATTACCTTCTAAAAGTTAACCAATGTGCAACACCTCGTTGATGTCACTAAACAAATCCAAATGTAAATTAATCCGCTTCACAAGAAAGAAATCTATCCATCAGTACTTCCTCGACTCTGACCTAATCCAATCCGTTTCAATATATAAATATCTTGGTGTAAAACTAACATCAGACCTCTCATGGAATAACCACATTGAAGCCATACATGCTGACAGATCGAGAACCCTATAGGCTTCATCCGACGTAACCTGCGCATTGCTCTTCCACTTGTCCGCAAACTGGCGTACGACACGTTCATCAAACCAAAATTAGAATATGAAGCTTCCATCGGGATTCCCCACCAGGCCTATCTCATCAAACACCTGGAAGCAGTGCAAAACCGAGCCGCTCGTTTCTTCTTGTCCACTTACGATTTTTCTGTCAGTGTATCCGCGTTTAAAAGTCAACTAACCTTGTCTTCTTTGCAGCTCCACAAAAAACTCTCTCGCCTCTGTCTTCTTAATAAAGTCTACTATCATTTCCCGAGTCTCGTTCCAACCTCCGAGCCGAGCAGTCGACTTTCCCCGGGCTCCGAGAACTCCGAAAGAACGAGAACGTGATCCAAGCGTAAACATCGAGCCGGCGCTCGGCGCAGCCGGCCGACCTCCCGGCTTGGCGCGAGGCACGCCCTGGTCCCCGATTTTGCCTCGCCGAGAAGCTTGAAAACTCCGAGAACCTCGTCAGGTCTGGATTTTCTCGGTACTATGTACGGCCAAGTGGCGCGTTTCTGCGCGCGCTCCTCATCGACGTGCAGGCTCCTAACTCAACCAGCGGAAAATGGAAGTTCAAGTAATCGGTGAGGACATCACACCAGAAGAGGTGACCGCCGAAATGGGCTGGCGCACCGCCCGTTCCCGCCGTCCCGACAAGAAACCTGGCCAAAACTCATCTCACGACGACCCGCCCCAATCGCAAGACTCCCACTCTCGCTCTAAAACCAGGAAGAACGTTAAATCTCAAGTCCTCAAGGCCGGACGTATGCCCCAATTACCCAAGAACGAAATTAAGATCATTGTGAGACCTAAAGGGGCGCTAAATATCCCCAAAGTCGGCAGCCCCACAGTGACTGCAGCTATTTTCCAAGCAACACAACTTAGCCCGGAAGAAAGCCAAGACAACACGATCTGCCCGAACGTTCAACAAAACATCGTCGTGATCAGCACGCCCCGACCGCACAATGCTGACAGGTACGTGCGCATGAAATCTATCCACGTCAATGGTGTCACCCACGAAGTCAACGCATACGAGGCAGCCCCAGACAACACTACCAAGGGAGTCCTCCGAGGTATTCCCCTCACCGATAGCGCCCAGGAAATCGACGCGAACATCATAAATGCCCGCAATCCATTAGCCCTGGCCGCCAAGCGCGTCGGTTCCACCACGACCATCGTAATCGCCTTCGACGGACCCAGTGTTCCGCACTTGGTCCGATACGGCGCTACATTGATCCCCTGCTGCTTGTACCGAAAGCAAATCGACATATGTTACCACTGTGGCCGTCTCGGGCACCGCATGGACGTTTGTCCATTCCCCAACAACAAGATCTGCAGGGGCTGCGGCGCCCGCAATCCTGAACAAGACCATCAGTGCACCCCGAAGTGCACGCTGTGCGGTGGACCCCACCCCACGGCGGACAAAGGGTGCACGGCCAAATACAAAACGCCATACGTCATCCGGAAACGCCTCTGGGAACAACGCATGGCACAGCAATCACTCCCTCAACCAGGTGATTTCCCGCCCATAGACACCAACCACCTCTCTCGCTCCCGCTCCCGACCCAGAGCAGGCCGTTCCCGGTCAAGATCTAGGTCGACCCCAAGAGTCCGACAAACTTCGGAAAAGCGACTTCCGCCGCCACAGCCACGGCAGAACCACCAACAACAGCAGCCGGGACCAGGCCCGCAGCCTGACCAACAAGAACAGGTGAGCTGGGCAGATAGGGTCTCCCTGCCCCCTAAGCCTCAACATAAGGACAGTGGCAGATCCGCCCTAGAACTACAGCTAGCCCAAATTCAGTCCGTGTTGAATCAGGTGTTACGAGAGAACAGGAATCTTAAAGCAGAAATCGCTCAATTAAAGACAGAGAAAGTAAAAGGCAGGAGCCGCACGCCGTCAATTACCAGCGGGAGGACACCAACACCGCCCCCCCTCCCACATGCGCAAATAGCCTCGGTTGCTGCGGAAGGCCCGGTGGTGACGGCACCGCCGCAAAAGCGGAAAGCCGAGGAAAACCCGCAACCAAGCGACGAACTACTCGAAAGTCTAACGGAGCTCGTAAAAGCGCAATTCGATGCACTTAACTCAAAGATAGAGCTACTCGGACAGCGCATGGACAGAATTGAACTTAGAACTACAGCCATCGAAAGTACACTCGCGGAGAGCCGTCCCGCAGCGGCGGGACCAATTAAGAGCACAAAACCTTACCAAAGGCCCGTTGCCGCGGAGAGTAGCAGTGACAACAGCAAGGCCACAGGAGAACCAGCACATAGCAACTAGATATGGCCCCGAACAGCAAAAATACAGAGTACACAATTTGGCAGTGGAACTGCCGCGGGTTTCGCCGGAAACGGGGAAACCTTCAGCAGTTCCTCCAAAATTCTTACAGTAACGATAAAAAGGAGGAGGCGCCAGATGTCATCGCCTTGCAGGAGACGATGGGACTTGCAAAATTAACAGGGTACAAATCATATGCCGCAGCCTCTGACGGAGGCAAAAGCGAAACGCTAGTTGTAACCCTGGTAAGGAGAAACTTAGCGGTGATACAGCACGAAACCACGGTAACAAACGTTGAGCACGTCCTCTTAGAAATAATACCATCAAGTAAAAAGGAAGGCAGCCTCTTTGTCCTAAATCTATACAGCTCTCCAAAACAGTGACAGCGGTTCGGGCCCCTGCTTCGCAAAACACTAGATACTGCCAAGAGGAACACGGTAGTGGTCGTTGGGGACTTTAACGCGCCGCACCCCGCATGGGGCTACCGAAGGGGCTCCGTCAAAGGACGGAGCCTTTGGGCGGACGCGCAGCACGTTGGACTAACCCTTGTCACCGATCCCCAACAGCCCACGCGCACGGGTAACAGCGTGAGCATAGACACGACACCGGACCTCACTTTCACAAAGAACGCACCGGACCCTAAGTGGGTCAACACGCAGAAGGACCTGGGCAGCGATCACTTTATTATTGCTACGACACTCAATACGGGACCAACAAAGAAACGGGGCAGAAAACTCACAATGGTAGAATGGGACACTTTCAGACAGATACAAGGGAGCGAGCGCGAAAGCGATCACGAAGACGAACACGAAGAAGCACGAAACAGTACCACATACGCTACTACAATTACAGACATAGAGCGATGGACAGCGCAGCTACACAGAGCTGTCAAACAGGCCACGAAAGAGATCCCTGAGGAAGCTGGACTAGAAACAGCCGACAGCAAACTCCTCCATCTGTGGGAGGCTCGTGGCAGCCTACAGGAAAAGTGTAGAGGCCAGAGGCTGAATCGAAACCTGCGGAGGAGAATAGCAAGGCTCGACAGAGACATCGAGGACCACGCCAACCGCCTGGCCCGTCAACAATGGGAGTCCACATGCAGCAGCATGGAGGGCCAACTCGGGCTGCGTAAGGCGTGGAACCTACTTCGCTGTCTCTTAGACCCCGAGTGTAGCAAGACGTTACAGAGGCAGAATCTCAACAAGATCACGCACACGTACAACGGTACAGACGAGGAACTCTTACACGAGATGCAGAACAGGTACATAGGCACTACAACGAGGGAAACTCAAGAAGACTACACGGGTAAAGACAACCCCACGCTAGACGAGGAGATCACGGAGGCCGAGGTGAGGGCTGAGATACTCCGACTACGCACAAAGTCAGCGCCGGGCCCAGATGGCATCACCAACAAGACACTCAGAAACCTGAACGACGAGTCGATTGAAGCAATTACGAGATACATGAACGATCGCTGGGAGCGGGGTGAAATACCGCAGCAGTGGAAGACTGCGCAAGTGGTCATGATCCCCAAACCCGGCAAGAAACTGCAGATCGAGAACCTCCGGCCCATTTCCCTGACTTCCTGCGTGGGGAAACTAATGGAGCACGTCGTTCTCACGAGACTAAACAACCACATGGAAGACCGGGGACTGTATCCACACACAATGATTGGGTTCAGACCGCATCTCTCGACGCAGGACGTAATGCTCCAAATCAAACACCAAATACTCGACGCCCGGGGCAGGACAGCAGGGCTGAAAGCCATCCTGGGCTTGGACCTCACCAAGGCCTTCGACAACGTTACACACAAGGCGGTTCTTGAGAACCTTCGGGACCTGGGGGTAGGCCGCAAAGCCTACACCTACGTTCGGGATTTTCTCTCGAGCCGCACGGCCAAACTCTCGATAGGAGACAAAATCCGAAGAAATAGAGCTAGGCAGCAGGGGCACACCGCAGGGTTCGGTCCTGTCTCCCTTTCTGTTCAACGTAGCAATGATAGGCTTGCCGAAAATCCTAGATAAGATCAAGGGCCTCAACCACAGTCTCTACGCTGACGATGTTACCCTATGGGTGACAAGCGGCAGTGAGGCTCAGATAGAAGAAACGCTACAGCGAGCAGCGGAGGCAGTCGATCACTACGCGACGGAAAGGGGGCTCAGTTGCTCGCCGCAGAAATCAGAGCTCCTGTTGGTGTATCCCACCACTAGAAAACAGTACGGAGGGGCACCAAGCATTACTATAAAAGCGAACGGGGATGCGATCCCCATCGTGGATCAAATCAAGGTGCTAGGACTCCGGGTGCATGCGGAGGGCAGAAACAACGAAACACTAAAGGCGCTGGAAAATAGCACACAACAAACAATTAGGATGATCAAAAGAATTGCCAATAGGCGTTACGGCATGAGGGAGGCCGGCCTAATTCGCTTAGTGCAGGCCTTCATCATTAGCCGAGTCGTCTATGTGGCGCCGTATCTAGTATTCGGGGTCGCTGAAAAGCGCAAAATGGAAGGACTGATACGGAGGGCTTACAAGCAAGCAATTGGCGTCCCCATCACAACACCCAACAACAAGCTCTTAGAGTTAGGGCTACATAACACTTTAGATGAACTCGTAGAAGCGCACACCATTGCACAATATGACAGACTAACGCAGAGCCCCACGGGGCGGCACATTCTGAAGAAACTTGACATCCACTATGAATCACAAAACGGAGCTAAGGGAGACATACCAAAGAGTATCAGGAGGGACCTCAAAATCCCTCCGCTGCCCAAGAACATGGAGCCGGAATACCATAAGGAGAGACGGGAGGCAAGGGCTCGCAACATGGAACGAATATACCAAGACGCCGAGGACGTTGTTTATGTAGATGCCGCAGAATATCGAAATTTCAAGGGCATGTCCGTCGTAGCGGTGGTCGCGGACGGGGAGCCCCTCGTAAGCGGGACCGTGGCGACGGACAACCCCGAGACAGCGGAGGAGGCGGCCATCGCACTAGCGGTGGCCTCCACCAAAGCTAAAATTATTATAAGCGACTCGAAGATCGCCATCCAAAATTTCGCGAAGGGGCGCGTCTTGTCAGAGGCGCTCAAAATTTTAAGAACGTACGGTGACCGTCACCAACAGCGGCAACGCGGGACGATCCAAATTATTTGGGCACCCGCGCACTCCTCGCTTCCAGGCAACGAGGCGGCTCACACAGTAGCTCGAGGTCTTACACGCCGAGCCAGTGAGCCCGCCCAACCGGGAACGCGAGGAGACCGCATGTTTACCTATCGAGATATTACGAATCACTATCGACTGGGACGGGCCCGGTACCCACCGGCTCAACCTGAACTAACTAAGAAGCAGGCAGTGGCCTGGCGCCTTCTCCAAACCAACATGTACCCGAACCCAGTGGCCTGTAGCCGGTTCTACCCGGGACAGTTTAAAAATACGTGTAAATTCTGTAAGAATAAGGCGGATCTGCCACATATCTTATGGGCATGCTCTCAGGCGGCACCGACCATTGATGGCCGCAAAATCTAAAACCGCGAGCATTGGGAGGCCCTACTACTCAGCTCAGACCCACAAGATCAGGTCTGGGCCACCCGGCTAGCCGAAGAAGCCGCCGAGGTCCAGGAGATCTCGGCCGTCTTCTAGGACTGCGGTGGATGAGACGGCTGCACCCGTCACCCCACTGACAGTGCTGGGACAATAAAGTTGTATTCTTCTCTTCTTCTATCATTTCCCCGACCTCAAGAACACGTTGTTATCACCTCCTGACAGAACATCTTCTCGTCTTAACAACTCCTGCACAATCAAACGTGTTTCAAGTTCCACAAACGCATTCAATCAGTCTTTCCTTCCTCAAGCCATCTCCGACTGGAACAGCCTACCATCCTCCATCGTTACCATCGTGGACCCAGAAGTATTTCTGTCAAGCTAGCGTATTCATTTTTCTTGTTATCAGCATTTTTGCCAGTATGTACGATTAATCAGCTTGACCTCGATGTATTAATTAACTTGTGTTTCTTCCTTTTATTGTTTGTATAACATGTATATACCCCCCCACCCCCTTTATATAGTGCCCTAACCGTGCCCTTAAGGTGAAAATAAATTAAATGAAATGAAAGCTCGAAGCTCCCTCTTGTAGCCTTTGCTTCGCTGTCACGAGCCACCAAACGCTCTATCCGGCACTTATAATGAAACGGAGTATAAAAAAAACTGTAATAGGGAAGCGTAATGACACACGCTCGAAACGCAAGCCAAATTTTCTATTTTGCTCGCTTGAGCGCTGCTCAAAACTTTAGAGCTACGGGCCTATTGCTATATTACCCAAGCATCAAGGCGAATGCAGTAATTCGTGTTCCACGCGCCGCATCTGCTGGCCTCAGCAGAAGTAACTTTTCTAAAGGAAATACCTAAAACAAATGGCATCTTGCGCGAGCGTTCCTAAACGCTTTATTTTTGTTATTTACTTCGAATCTTTTATACTGCGAAGGCGTGCACCTGTGGCACGTGGAACACCGATGCCTGCATTTTCATTGATGCTTGGGTAATACAGCAAAAGGTATCTTGCGTGTGGCCAAATTGCGTGGGCAAACATGCCGGCATAGAGTTATTATAATGTACGCTAGAGGTTCAAGTGGCGCAAGTGTGCTGACGCAAATTGAAGCAGACAGCAACCAGTCGGAAATTGACTTCCGGTAATGCATTTCTATGGGAAAAGTTAGTGCATTTTTTCCCTGCGCTTGATCATAAGAAATATCCCAAATAATTCGTACGTACTAGGTAGCTTGGAACATTTCTCAGTCAGGCCGACGAAAGAATTGATCAGTTACGGCGTTTTTCTTTCGAAATCATCGCAGTAAAAACTGTGATAAAACGGCTTCGTACATGTATTTATGTGCACTGTCGGTCACTGTTAGCGCGAACGCGGGCGTCGGCGATTTCCAGTATGGGGATATACATGCCATCGAACGAGGGACATCTGGAAAAACAAGAGCGGCGGCAAGAACTAT